GGGTTTTGTTTGTTTTTAGCTTTTGTTGGTTTCCTTAGCCAGATGCCAGAAACCGAAACAAAACACTCTAGCTATTGAGGTGGCTTTTAAAAACTAGAAAGCTAGTAACTTGGAAATGAAGCAAAATTGAAAACATGTTTTGAGGAGTTTTTTTTTCTGATTTTTGGTGTGCCGACAAACGGACAGCTTATTGCAAAAATCAATAACAAAAAGTCAATTAGAAATCAGAAGCTATTAAAAAGTTCTTGAGCTAAACGATATGTTCGCTGGTTGGTTTCTGGGTTGATAAGCCCGGCTGATGCTGATTTGTCGTGAGAGAAAAATCTTGTTGACTGACTGATAAGCCCTGGCTGAAAAAAAAAGCGAACAGACTGAAGGGCTTAATAAAAACTCAACCAAGCTACAGTAGTCTGATACTTCCAGCTACAACTGCATTGCGTCTGAGCCCTTGTTTCCATGTATCCAACGGCCGGTCCACAGAACCAGAGCGGGGCCCGCACTCCAGGAGTACAGTGGGCGGAACGGAATGCAGGAACCGGGGACGGGGAGGAGGAAGCAAGGGAGGGGGTATTCCCGTCCATTCCTCCCACAAAGCCGCGCCGCTCCAAAAACGCCGTCATCATCACCAGCCGGGCGAAGGACGAGAAAGAAGGGGGACAACGCCCACACCAGCACAGGAGGGGCCCCCCTATGTTCCCTCAAAAAAAAAAAGGGCCGGCCCTACGCGCGGCGCAGGTGGGCCCGCGGCGCGGCAGCGCAGCGTACGTACGACGGTACGAGTAGTAGTACTACGTACGTGGCGCGGCGCGCCTTCCCAGGAGCCCCGCGTGGCAGCCCAGATCCGTGAGTGCGATGCCGTGTGCGCACGGCCGGGGGACACGAGCACCCCGCCCGCCTACGCGTGTCCTCGCACGCGTCCCCCAGCCACGGCACACCCACACGGGGGGGCATGGCAGTGAGTGGCAGGGCTCCGACTCCGACTTCCAGGCGAGGCGAGGGCGACGACGACGAGCCAGTCCCACAGTCCCATTCCCATCCCAACGCGCCTGCCTGATTGGCCGGCGCCGCTGCTTGCGAGTGAGTGCGCGGGGTCCACCTGCCAGACACACTCTCCCACCGGCCACTGCCACTGTAGCGGTAGACTGTGCTGCGTCGCGCTGTCTCTGTCTCTGTCTCTCTCTACCATACGAGTAGCCTATCACACCCGCTCTAGAAGGTTCAACGGTGGTGTCAGTGACCTGATTGTACTCTAATCGGGGTTTAGCTGGTCCATTACGATTGTTTAGTCACAGGTAAAAGTGATTGGCCAGGCTAGGTGGATGCATATTTTCAATTGACAGCCGGAAAGGGACACGTTTATCTTTTACGGCTACTCCAACCTCGCAGATATTTTGCTTTTGTTTACCGCGTCTTCATGCCATTCAGCGGAGGCACTGGGTGGTGCAGTGGCTGCCACTGGCTGAGCTCAGGCCTAGGCCCGCTCAGCTGGGTGGCTTTGGTGGACGCACTGCACGAGTGAACTGGACGTTTTGAATTGGACTAATTGGACTATTACTCCTACTAGTGGTAGTACAACGAAATCACACTGACCGGTGGTAGTACAACGAAATTTCGCCATTATTTTCAGAAAAATAAACCTTTTTACAAAACAGAAAAATAAACCCGTGCCTTGGCAAAACCAGTCCTAGTAATCAGCCTGTTCGCTGATTGGTTTCTAGGCTAATAAGCCCGGCTGATATTGATTTATTATAAGAGAAAAATACTGTTGGCTGACTGATAAACTCTGACTGAAACCAACGAGTGCTCCTATGTACCTATTGATACGAGTTCCCGGTACTGTACGTACTAAAGTCACGTCACCTTTCACCTCTGCTCTACTACTCGACCTCTCTGATTTTAAGATGAACAGGTGACATCATGGAGATACAGAAGACAGCCAATCTTCACGGATGCGAGCTACTGCTAGTACTCCCATGACTTCAGGAGGAGAAGACAGTGTACTCCCACGCAAACATACTACTCACAGAGTTTTAGCAAAGCCAAAGCACACACGATGCCCGATAATTTCATTTTTCGATAATTTCATTCATTCACCAACGGCAACAGATGCGCAGGTTCCGCCAGCATCCAAGTCACCAAGTGGCAGGAACTGGGAGTAAAAGAAGAAAACGACACGACGTGACGTGACGTTATGTATTGGCCGTGGCAGACTCCAATGCGGCTCCACCTAAAAGCGGGCCAGCACAGCACACCATTTTTCTCTCAGGCCCAGTTTAGGCCTTGTTTAGATCACTCCAAAATTTCAAGTTTTTTCACTCTCTCTCCATCACATCAATTTTTGGACGCATGCATGGAGCATTAAATGTAGGTAAAAAAAAAAACTAATTGCACAGTTTAGTTGGAAATCACGAGATGAATCTTTTGAGCTTAGTTGGTCCATGATTGGACAATATTTACCAAATAAGACGAAAGTGTTACTATTCATCGGGTTGAAAATTTTTCCAATCTAAACAAGGCCTTAGTTCCCTCCCATTTTGCAAAATTTTTCAAGATTCTTCGTCACATCGAATCTTTAGACGCATGCATGAAGCATTAAATATAAATAAAAAATAAAACTAATTACACAGTTTAGACGAAATCCACGAGACGAATCTTTTAAACCTAATTAGACTATGATTGAACACTAATTAACAAATAACAACGAAAATACTACCGTTGTATTTTGCCAAAAATTTCGGCATCTAAACAGCCCCTCAGTCCATGGTTTTCAGCGAACAGATCGTCCTATCCCCGTCGCCTTCCGCCCCACCTCCACCACCACAGCTGGTTGCTACTCGTACACGCGTATTCTACGAGTACACGCTTTTCTTCTTTCTAGAACATACAGTAGTTATGCATCTCTGCTACCTTTGCTCTACAATTTGTTAGTACATTATTACATTACTCTGTGTTGTTTTTGGACTCTCATCACGTTTCATATAGTGTATTGAATGTATGCCTACAACGTACATGTTTCATCCATTTTTATAACATATGCAACGAACTATGCTGAATTTGTTTTTTTTGGACCCTTGTTTTTTGTAGTTTGAGAAAAAACAAAAGATATAAATTGTTACCCCTCCGTCCCAGAAATACTGTGATTCTAAGACAAGCACGGAAATCAAGGTGGTTGGAAAATTATAAGAATACCCCTATGAATAACTGACAGTCTGCCATTGTAGTTCTGTAACAAACAAGAGGACACAAACATTCGAGAGTACTCGTAGCGACAAAAGATACATGCTGGGATGAAACATGCGGAGAAGAGAGCATCCATGTGTACGTTCTTTCTCTTTTTATTACGGTACGATGCCTTTTCTTACGTGAGATGTGGAGCGGTGGTTTCAGGAGTGGGTACAGCTGCTACCCTACTCTGTTAGCTTTACGGATTGCAGAACGACGGTCTTTCCTGGGACAAATTTTGAATTGAAGAACGACGGTCTTTCGTGGACAGAGGGAGTATGCCACATCAATAGTCCAGTTTTAGAGACATATACCACTGAACATGTCGATGCACTTCAATACTACATAAAAACTACATCATCGACATATATTGGTGCTAGAGTTTGCATCCATTTCTCCATAATTCTCGCTCAAGCCAAAGAAACCTTATTTCCCTTTCATATCTAAAGCACACCGACCAGCCGACCTCCGAACAATGCCATGGCATCTCTAGTTTCTATCTTCCCACTGCCAAAGTTAAGTAGCCAAATGCACACAAGTCAAACATGCTTCAAGCCATTAAAGAGAGCTCTGCCCTATCTCCTCATTGCAAGATCAATCACTATTCCTCCTACATCAAACCTAGATTGAACTCTACCCTACCAAATTCGAGTTCCTCAATGGCTAACCTAGTCGCTCGATAGTTCAATTGATTTGCAAGTCACCAAATGAAGTTATTTCACCTCAAAATCAATGCCCTGCTCGCTTGCCTGATAAGCCATGGCTGAAAGTACTGTTGGCTGATTTGTTGTGAGAGAAAAATATTGTTCGTTGACTGAAAAAGTACGACTTATAAGCCAAGCGAACAGGGCGCAAGTCCCTCCTAACCCAAACCGAGCTTGTTATGGTTGATCGAGTCTCCATTAACATAAATTGAGATTGTTCTTGCTTTTGTGACATGAAGAGAGTAGCAAATCGACCTAAATCCACACCCTCACTTAATGTTCTAGACCTAAGGATGGGATCAGATGGGTCTTTCTCCCAATTTCTGACTAGAAGCCAAAAGGCGCACAACCCATGCTCTTGTCCATTACATAGCCTTCAATGTTCCAATATAACATCTAGCTTGCACTATTTTCACTGCTTGCTTGCTCAATCTATTAATTTACTGCCTGACAACTCTGTTTCCTGTCGGGTCTGGCCATCGAATAAGGAAGAATGCGATATATGTGTGTCGAGAACTTAGTGCGAAGATGGTAGAACATTACACGAAGAAGGCGACAGGCTGATGAAAAAATAGACAAAAGTGGTATATATATATAAACATAATGTTTTTATAGTGGTATTGAAGTGTACTCGGTCAGATTGGTGGGATATATTTCTAAAATCAAGTTATTATTACAACATTCGAGATAAAACTTAAAACCTGGTTGTACCAGCTGGCGTACAGATATTGCAACCGCTCCGTGTGTTCCTCTAACCACAGATGGATGCCAACAAAACTGCTATTTATAAAAATAGAAATATAGCGCACACACGCAAAAAAAAAAAGGTAGCAGGAAAAGAAAACCCACAGCAAGGCCGGAAACCGCCGTTGCAGGGGCTACAAATACAGGAAACCACCCTCTCTCCCTCTCACTTCCTCGCCTTCCTCCTCTGCCCCTCCAACCTCTCCTCCTCTTCTGGTCTCTGGACAACCACCAAGCCAGAGGAGGAGCAGCCAGCCAGCCAAGGACACCGGAGCACGGGCGCGGCCAGCGAGAACGTCCTCCCCTCCCCTCTTCTCTTAACAGCGAGGCATGGTGGAGAAGGCGAGGACCATGGCGCGCAAGCTAGAGATCCCGCAGTGGAAGGCCGACGGCCTCCTGCCGTCGCCGACGAGCCCGCTGGACCGCGCGTCGCCCCGTGGGTGGCGCCACCGCGACGCCGTCGGAGGCGTCGGGCTCGGGATCCTCGCGGCGCTGGAGGCCGAGGTGCCGCATGCGCGGCCCGCCGCGGGGCCGGTGCCGAGGGTGTCCATCCCGCGTCGCGCGGCGCGGCTGGAGGTGTCGGAGCTCGGGTGCAGCGGGCGCTGCGCCACCAGCCTGTGCGGCGGCGGTGGCGGCGGGAGAGGTTGCGGCCCGGCGTCCGCCCGGCCCGGCGGCGTTGGCGGGGGCGCGGCGTTCCGCGTGGCGGAGTTCCTGTCGTGCTGCGACATGTGCCGGCGGGCGCTGGACGGGAAGGACATCTTCATGTACCGCGGCGAGCGCGCCTTCTGCAGCATGGAGTGCCGGTACCACGCCATCGTGAACGACGAGTTCCAGGAGGAGAAGGAGCGGAAGCGCCGCGCCGCCGCCGCCATGTCTTCCGCCGCCGACGTGCCCAAGAAGTCGGCCGCCGAGATGGCCGGGTCGCCGTGCAGCGGCGGTGGGCAGATCTTCTTCACCACCGGCATCGTCGGATCCGTCTTCTAGTCTAGTGATCACAAAGAAAATCCAGCTAGAGGAACCGGCGACCGCTGTAACATAAACTTGACAAGAAAAAAAAACATAAAAAAAACAAGAAGAGAAATAAGGGTGGGTGGGTGCGTGTTTGTGTAGAGAAATGGGTGGGGAAATTTTGTTCTTCCTCTCCTCTTTGCTAGAGGAGGCAGGCGGGTTATTTGATCTGGATTTTTTTTTGTATTATTATTAGTATTTAGTACTACTATCATGACGATGATGATGGGCGAGATGAGATGTTTTTGTAGCAGCAGGAGGGAAGGGGAGGGATGATGGCAGTTTTCCAAGGATTGTTTCTCCTCTGCTCTGCCAAAGGAATAACATTTTCTGCCCTCCATTGTTCAATCCGTCCCTCTGTCTACGAGTATTTGATGAATCGTCTTGCACTTCCTTTCTGGTTGTACGCTTTGTACCACTTGATGACGAGCTGAGCCTTGCTCAGATGGTAAAAGAACTGAAAAAGTGCCTTGCTCAGGTGGTGCTCTGCTCATCAAGAAACTTGGTCCAAAAATGTTCATCAAGAGTGGAAAACAAAAGTGCCCTGGTGCTCTGCTCATCAAGAAACAAAACAACAGGTGATGCCTCGTCCTCGTCGTAAATCATGAGGACCAACCAACAAAAAGGCTTGAAGCACTCCCATCTAATTCACTTCAGATGAACTCTTGTAATACTACTTATTCAAAGAGTAATAAGAAACCGATTTCAGAGATACCAACGAGGATGGCCGTTCCTGGGTTCTCTTCTCCTGGACGCCCAAACACAAAGAAACAGAGAGCTGCCAGGAGCAGTGTATATGCTTTAATCGGGAGCTGGTCCTGGTCCTGCCGCTGCCCGTCCGTCCTAGCAAAAGCATCAAGCAGAAGCTGGAGTTGGAGAGGTGGAGGAGAGTTCGAGTTCAAACCAACCAATGGACCTGTTCGCTGATCGGTGTTGTTTAGGCTGGTCGATGCTGATGCTGGTTTAGGCTGGTTGATATTGATTATTTGAAAGGAAAATACTATTGGCTGATTGATTTGAGCTGGCTGAAACCAACAAACAAACAGGCTGAATAATTGATGGATGCATCTACCATGCCTGCCACACTCTGCATCCACCTGTGGCCTGGTACAGCCGATGGCGAATCCATGGATGCATCGGTCCGTTGCTTCGCTCAAAAAAAAAAAGACACAACAGTAACACTGTTTCGACTTATTTGTTTGAGAGAGAAACACGGTTCTCGCTAAAAAAAAATAAGTTAAAAAATATGGATTATAAGATAAGTGAACATGACCACTTACAGCTCAGCCTAGCCCTGATCTGAGCCTGAGCTGCATCAGTTTTTCCTTCCTCCATAAGGGAACGGGAATCGGTGGAGACTGCAGAAGAAAAAGGATGGGAGCAATGAGGCAAGTGAGCGGGATGGATTTTTTTTTATTTTTAACAATTTTTTTAATTTTTTTAAATTTGACACTTGGTTTTTTTTTCAAAACTAATATTTTTGGACGCGCCTATTCACATGGTATGGCGGCGTGGCAAAGTGGCCACGTGGCAGTCAGCCGAGGCGCTGGCCGATGACGTGTCACATCCTGACGCGCCGTGGACCATGGCGCGGCAAGGCCCGACTTAACCGTTGCAAGAGGTGGAGAATGAGGACGACACTGGCAGACTGAGCGAGCTCATCGCTCTAGCAGAGGTAGACTTACAGGTGGAGGAGGACGCGTTCTTCTTTCAGGCCACAGAGGCCGCAGATGAAGCGAAGGCCGCTTAATACAGGTGACAGGCAGATCAGGGCAATGAGGGTGAGCCTAGCCACATGAACGAGGAGGAGGAGAATGTGTTCTTGTCTCATGCCATAGATGAAGCAGAGGCTGCTTACTACAGGCGACAGGCAGATCAGGGCAATGCAGGTGAGCCTAGCCACAGCAACGAGGTTGTGGTAGAGGATTGGTACTCGGATAACGAGTTGCTTACTCAGTATGTTTCTGACTGAGGATTTCGGATTACGCCGTAATGTTCAATATGTAGAAGGACCGTAATGTTCTAATTTTCATTATCATATGTGTTATATTTCATTATCCTGTCATGCATTGAACTTTTTGTTGTGTCCCATTTGTCATGTATTTGATTCAAAGTTGTGATGCATTGTATTCATGTACTGAACTTTTCGGTTAGCTGGCACTTTAATTTACCTCTTGGTGTAATGCACTTCCATGATCCTATCGGAGTGTTGCTTGTTTTTAATTTTTACAATTCATAATTTTTTCTCTAATTTGGAATTGAAGGCGGCAACAAGAAAATACACCAATATGCTGAGAGGGTAGACAAAAGAACGATTTCAAGATAGAAGTGTGCTGGATGTCGATGATATAAGATTATTACAATTAATTATTGAGTTGTGTGCTGGATATGTTTCCTGTTGTCCTGCGTAGCTCGGCATGGCGCGTACAGGCCGCCGCACCCCAGCCATGGCGCGACAAGGCTGACACGCCCCCAGCCATGGCGCGGCGGTCATTGAGATAGGAGCAGGGCAGTCCATCAACTTGTGTTGTGTTGTCGCGACGGTTTAACAAAAAACTAACCAGAATACAAGTTCGACATAAGTTCATGAATACATTGACACTTGGTAAGTTCGACATGACAAGATAAGTCCAACATAAAGTCCATGGGTCAGCATACATGTTCCATAGGTTAGACAATATTAGTTCTTCAATACATAAGTTCCATAGGACTCGGCATACATGTTCTATAAGTACATGGGTCCAAATACTAGTCCATCATGTCCTCCTAAACTACTACTTCCCAGGAGTGTAGGGGTACCGCGGACGCCTCTGTCTTTTCGGACTTGAAGGCAGCATGTTAGGGGTGAACCCAACGTTGGTGCGGTCACGCCGGCGGTACACCCGGCGGTACTGCTGAGTATAACTAGTACCCTGCAATTACAATATAGGCATTGTTAGTTACAATCTTTAAGTCATTGTCACGTATATGGAGAAAGGTTGTTTCAAGTACCTGTTCCTCGAACTATGTAGGAAACGATGCATCACCAAGCTAAGACATCCCAATCTCATCGTAGTCATCGTCCTTGTCCTCCTCATCCTTGTGCTCCAGAGGACCCTTGCCTTCATGGCCGGGAGTACGAACAGAAGAGGTCCCAGCAGCCATCGTGTTGGACGAACCGGCTCGTGTCGGCAAAGTGCTCGAGCGTAAGGGACTAGACAGCGCCGGGTCGTAGGGCATCTCCCACGGAGTATCCATGTAGCTGAGCTTCTGGGCCAGCTTCCTACAGCTCCTCACTTTCTACAAAAAAAGATGACACTGATGAATGAGGCATGGGAACCATTTAACCATTGTGATGCCTTTGAGAATAGAATGTACATCGACAAAGACATGTAGAATGTCGTGCTGCTCCCCTCTGGCCTCGTGAAGTCGCATGGCTGCTTCGTTGGAGAGACTTGTCAACTGTGTTGCCTGCGTACACAATCAAGGCAATTCGTATCACTACAATTCATAGGAACGCCGACATGCACTTGTATTGAAATTCAAATTTCTTACCACGTATCTTTGTAGCGGGGCTCTCTGAAGCTGTGTCTCCATCCTTGTTGCATCGTCATACGCATCGGTGATGTCATCCTCGTTCTCGTCCTCATCAATTGCCTTGTCAGTGTAGGGGGCCTGGATATGTGTTCGGGTACTCCTATGCAACCATTGGAGGTACACGTCGAAGTTGTGTTGGTCGTGCGGCGGTGTCTCGGCGATCAGGAACCTTTGCCTATTCTCCTAGTCCTGGATGTACTCTTAGTGCGTCACGGCCCAATTCTTCTCCTTGTACCTATTCCTTCGATCGTACCTGCAATGAACACGTAAGTTAGTGGTTGTATGTATGCACATGATTGCTAAATGTTTATGTTATTGTCATCGCACCCGTGCAACTTTTTGTTGGTTGTGTACAGCGGCGGTGGGCATGGTTGCAATCTTCCAAACTGCCTGTACACCCTTATAGGGCAGTGCATCTCGACCACGTGGAAGAAAATTAGTGGCACGTTACAAAGCCACTCCTCTGACTCCTCCTCAGTGCGAGGACTCAGGTAGCCCTCCAGCTCAAATCTGGACCAAGGACACCAATTCACCTAAAACTTAGGTAACTAAGGTTAGGTTTTGGGAATAATGAAAAACCAACAACACCGACTTGCATAATCAAAGTGGTCATAACCTGGTGCTGTGTCAAGACATCTAGCATGTCCGAGTACTGCCTGTACCGTCGCTTCGGGTTCCCTCTCACTACCTCCGCTTCTTGCCAGACGTACAGAGCACTCAGTCGTATGTCAACGTGATTCCATGGCTGCATTGAACAGGATAGTCAGTCACAAATGCGGCGTCAAGTTTCAGGTAAATAAAAAATCGATGCACTTACAGGTAAACGGTGAACAATAGGCCTCCCAACTGATCATCGCTCCCAACACCATACCTATAGTAGGTGGGAGCAACCTCCAAGGTTGGCGCCTCCTATAGTGCAACGGCAGGCAATACAGAGTTGACGATAGGTCCATGCTAGGACCGCGCTGCCTCAGCTGTACGCTCCTATGTTCTCCCATGGCTGGCTCAGTATGTTTAGGAAGGCCTAGCTTATGGTGTTCCCCGATGCGCTGGGGAACAGGAAGGCGCCTAAGAAGTGCCACAACCACACCCTAGCATACCTCTCGATCTCATGCTCTGGAGCCTTTGGGTGCAGCGGCGCCCCGAAGTTTTCTGTTATCTAGACCGAACTGGCATCGGATGTTTTCCTAAAATTTTTAATAGACAATAAGAAAGATGGATTGTCAAAATGAACTAACACCGTAGATTTACTTACTTTGCTTTCTTAGCATCCTCGTCCTTGGGTGGCCTTCTGCCATAGAACTGCTCATCCAGTGATCGTTATCAAGGATCCCAGTCACTAGAAGACGCCCCAACCGCTGACACAGAATCATCTTCACGTCCTGCATTGTGATAGTCAT